CCATCCCCTCACCTCAACTCCTCGTGGAGAAGAATTTACCCTGGATCTCAAGGCCAGACAGTGTAGGGGATCATGAGGTAGTAATGGCTTAAGATAACTTTTGTCTCTGGTATTGCTTGGAAGGAAATGTTTTGTTAGATTTGCTGATATGCAAGGCTGAGGTGATGTTCTTGTTAGACTTGAGGCTGCTACTTGCTAAGGGCATAAGGGTGGCAGCAGAAGGACTCCTGCTCCGGCTGTGCCATCTTCTGTTCAGCTGCATCTTGCTCCTGCTCACTGTAGGAGCTCATGGCAGTGCTGAGTACCATAAGTTGCTATGTTCCCAAGGCTCCCCTGCAGTTCTCTGAGGACCAGACTTCTGGGCCTCCCAGAGGTAAGGTATGTTCACAACTCACTTAGAAAGAGCCCTTGAGCATCTCTATCTGGGCAGGAAGAGTTAACTCTTGTGTAGCTTTCATTTGTCTTGCCATTGGGATGGAAGCCTCATGTGCTGCTGCTGGTGAAGGTTCTTTGTGGGCTTCCCAGGCTGGCTTCTGCACTGGCTTCATAAGCTACTGTGGTGTTGACCCACTTGGAGCTCTGGCAAAACACTGGGGGTCTTCAGCCGCTAAGTTCTGTTTTGTGGACACAGATGGATTTAAAATGTAAAAAAGCTGTTGATCACCCTTCTTTTCCATTATTTTATTTTGTTATTTTTGAGGAAGTACTTGCATCAAAGAGAGCAGTAATGTAGTGCACTGGTTTCAGAAGGGTTGGTTATTCTTGGCTTGGGGAACAGAAGACATTTCCTGCAGGGGAATTTAGTGGCCCAGTGAATGGGTGTCGGCAGAGCCAGAAGGTGGGAAAGGTCTGTAAAATGAAGAAGAATGAGCTTGTATATCATGTGATGATGCATAAGCAGTAAAGGTAGCTGAAACCTGAGAGAAGTAAGACAGAAAGCAGCTGGCCTGGTCTGCAGATGAATGTTCTTGTTTTGCTAAACATAATGCAGGTAACTGTACCCTAATTTTCACAAATATCCCACAAATGGTGGGATATTTATTTCATAGAAGCTGAGTGGGGTGAGTGAATTTGGAGGAGAGGCCCTGGGTCTGTGTAGGCATTAAGGATGTACTGGAAGAGGGCCCTTAGTTATGGCCAGCAGCACCTCCTGAGACAACAGTCTATCTGTTGTGGTGCAGACGGAGCTCTTGGAGTCCTGGATTCCTCTGGAGCCAGGAGTTGATGCCAAATACAGGCAGGAAGATTATCAGGTTCAAGAGAGATGACAGGATCATTGGGTCTAAATGCCATCTGTGTACTACATAGGACAAGGGCTCTCGAGGGCTGTGTTTTCCTCAATAGAAAATAGTTACCTCACTGAGAACCCATACCAAAATGCAGATGTTCTGCAAATGCATGTATTGGCCCATTTATCAATAAAAAAAAAGGTCAGCTGTGTTTAATGTCATATGGCAGCTTTGATTTTAATTACAGTAAAAACCCCAATGACAAATGAATTCAGTGCTCTTTAGAGCTTGTTCCTTTCTGGTGCAGTTAGTTATGTTGCCTTACCTGTGCCTGGTCTAAGTTTGTCTGCCTCTGCCCTGGTAGAAGAGATTTTATTTAAATAAAGAAAATGGCGTAAAGTGGCAAATTAATTAAAGATTCTCATTTACTGGGGGACTTCAGTGTAGCTTAATGTTTCAGCAACATCTTGTTACTGTGTTGGATAGCAAGGTTGCAGGCAGTATCACTGTAACTGGCACAAAAAGGTTGTTGCATTTGACCTTAAATTAGAATGACTGACAATTTCTCTTCCCCTCTTTCTTCCTATTTTGTATGCAGTTTCAGGTATCTGGGGTAAATTGGGATAACTTGAGTTTGTCCTCTTTCAACTTTTTGTCACTTAAAATTTTGACAGGGACTGCTCTGCTATTTTTGTTGTTGTTTGCTTGGCTCCTTTATCTTAAGCTTCTGAAACTCATTCTTGATCTTTTTCCAAGCTGTTTTCAAAATGCAGTGAGCAGGGTCCTCCTCCTTAATAACATTTCTTCAGTTTTTAGGAGTAGTTATCAGTTTGGGTGTTTTAAATTGACTGTTAAAGAACCGACTGCTATAGAAACCTGACTTTTAAATTAAGACCCTGCATACAGCTAGTGCTTGAGCTACTTTTAAATTACAGCTGACATTTTGAGCAGTGCCAGTACCTGTGCTTGGTCTTTTGTTTTCCCCTCTGAATGTGTTCATACCTGGCTGGCTCTGGTTTCAGCTTTGCAGGTTCTGCTTGCCCTGTCCACCTGACAGCAGGAATGTGAATTCCCCTGGTTTGTGGTCCATGCTCAGCAGCAGTGTCCTTGTTTCACTGGGTGACACAGGCTGTGGCTGTCAGCAGCAGCACAGCGGTGTCACTCTGAGCACACTGCTTACTTGCTGTTGTACAAGCAGTGTTCCCCAAGTTTTGGCAATAGTTTTCAGCTGTGATGTTCATGCTGTACCCATCAAAAAGCTGGTGATGGTGCACAAGGATGAGGCCTTGATTTCAGTCTGCTGATAGTCTGAGTTCTCAGTGGATGATAAGACCGGCTCACTTAAAGAGATCCAGTTACATTTGTTTCTGTATTTCTTTTTCTAGTTGTATCAGTAGAGGTTCCTCCAATTTTTTCCACTTCACTGACAGCACTTCCTTGTTTGACTCCAAATAAATCTTAGTAACACGCACAGCCCAAAGATGAGGGGTAAAAACTGATCTTTAGATTAGGAGCTATAGAAAATGAAATTAATAATGAATAGAAGAGAGAGGCTTTTTTCCTTTATGTGTTGTCCAAGCAAAAGGAAACTGTTGCAGAAAATATGAGTTAGTGAATGGTGATAGTGGGGAGCAGTGCTGGACTTTTTTCCTAGATTTGGGTGAAATAAAAAATTAAAACTTTTCCAAATGGTCCCCAATGAGACTAAGCAAAACATAGGCAGGTAAGAGAAGATGCCTCCCTGTAGGATTCATTAAATGCTGCTGAGATTCTTTTGTTTACATTCAGCTTCAGTGGGAAGGTATTGGGGGGGTTGCTTTTTTTTCCCTGCCACAGACGTGGTTAAAAGTCACAGTGAATATTTCGTGACTTGGTGAAAAGCCTGTGACCTCTCTCAGTTGTCTTGTTCATCAGAAGGCAGATAGGTAATAAAGAGTCTCCTGTGTGAGAGGAATAAGGAGAACCTGCTGTTTTAATTTTGTTCACAGCAGTGGGCCAAACTTTGTTCTCTCAGTTCTGGCCTTGGTAATTGGCTCGATATAATATAGGAATTCAAGCCATTGCATATCTTTGGCCTTATAACTGCTAATGTCATAGCCAAGAAGAGTGCACAGTCTCCTGCAAGACCATACAGTAAAAAAGAACAATAAGCATGTTTCAAACTACATATGTGCAGTGGTTCTAATGGGTCTCAGCTCAGTCCTGATGAGTTCATTTGGGTTCAAGTTGCCTGGACAAATGGATTTTGCTGGTTTAGACTTGGGAGGGTGAGGGGAGGCATGTGGGTTTGTGAGGTTTTCTGGACTAAATATTATGTTGACATTTCTGATTCCTGGGAACCAGGGTGAAGGCATCCACTTCTTTTGGGAGGGAATTGAGGAGTCTTCTCAACATGAGGTGTTTGACTATAGTGTGCCTTGCCTTTAGGGTATCCCATAATGAGCAGGGTAGCTTGCACAGGTATGTGGTAACATTCTGTTTTTCATCTGCTCTCAGCCATGGTCAGCTAAGACTCATTTACCTTGTTTTTTGCAGACATCCACAGTTTATTCATCATTTTCAATGAGGTTCTAACACCTGTTAGGTGCTCCTCCTTCCTTTTTTTGGAGAAGCATTTAATTATGACAGGGTTTCCCTTGGAGCACATCCTCCATTCAGTTCTCTAATTGTAGAATTCTCTGTGGGATTCTCCAGATGGGGGATAGAGGATAATCTTCTCAGAGCTCCGGAAGAAATGTGATGCCAAATTAGAGAAAATAGATCCTTTTTATTAAGCTCTTGGGTTCTTTTTACTCTTATTTTAAGGTGACCTTCTGTTAAAGAGAAATGTTGGACAAATAGCTATCCTTTTAAATAATCCTCAACAACCTTACCTGGGCTAGATAGAAATCCTGAATGGATTTAAACTTTTTTAGCCATTTATTCTATGATCACAGAGGCAAGGAGAATGAGCTTGCCTGTTTCCCCTTTGTTTCTAGTTGGTTTCATTTTCAAGCTGCAAAGCTCTAAATTAAGGAATACTGGCAGTGTGCTTGATGTGGTGGGCAGGTATAAAGACAAAGCTCCCTCCTTTGTTGAGTGTCACAGTGTCACTTTATGGGTCACTTCACTGCATGCTGGTGTTGTGGCAGTGCTGTTCCCATCCCCAGGGGGTTTCCAGGCATCCTAAATGTGCAACACAGTGTCAATGTCTGCAAACATGGCAGTACTGGCCATCCTATTTTGTGCCCAGATGCTGGCCATGTCTGCTTCTGCTAAATTGGCTAAATCTGTCATGTGATGGCTGAAGGGCTCCAGAGACTGTCCCCACAGAGCCAGGTCTGCTGGAAGGAAGGTTCTCATGTCTTTGATGCACAAATTAGTGCTCCATGAGCTCCTGTGTTAGCAGATGATACTGATATTTTTATAGGGTGAATGAAGAAACTAAAGTGCACAGGAAAAACTTCAGTCCTGTACTAGGTTGGTGGCAGTGCCAGAAGTCTGGAGGTGGCAGACTCTGATCCCTTGTTCTAATCATTGCTCTCTTTGGGATTTTGTCTGCATTTAAGTCTCTAGGGAGTATTTCCTTTAGCAATAAGGGTACCAGCTTTTGCACTGGAGGGAAGGAACATCTTGCCAGCAAGGAGAATGAGGTTACAGATTTTAATGTATGTAGTTGGTCGGCTTTGCACTGTGATGTGCCAGTGAGGGGATGTGTACAGCTTGCAGCAGCTGAACTTTAGTGCTCAGAGATCAAAGGTGGCTAATCCAAATTATTTTTTTATCTTCCAGGTCTACGCACAACGAACTAGAAAAGAACCGGTAAGTAGCTAATGAGCTGAATTCTAAAAAATGTAGACCTACTGAGTGTAATGTGCTTTGACCTTACCCATGCAGGTGCTGTTTGATCAGCTTAGACAGCTGTGAGTGACCACACTGCATCATAGAGTTTTAAAAGTTGGGGGGAAGACACAAAAAGATCTGAAAAAGCAGCTTTGTTTTTGGTTGGGTTTTTTTTCTCTCTCTCTGAAAAGGCAAGAAGTGACCCAGTTTTGTGACTAATCTGTATGCAGAGTAAATACTGTTCTTCTCCTGACAGTGAAATCTGATTGGGGCCCTTTCCATACATGAGGTTGCTACGGGATCAGGTTTCTTGGGCACTGGGTACTATGTGTTACCATGAACCGAAGGGCAGAGCCCTGTGCTCTGCACCCTCTCCCCCCACCCCTGCACTGGGCTCTGATAGTCTCTGTAGCACAGAAGAGAATACCATTGTCCAGAGGCTCGGAGGTCTGGCTACTGTGGCACTCCTGCGGAGACTCTTCTAACCTGCTCTAGGATTGCACCTGTTTATTCTTGAATCTGATGTTTTAGCAAGCCCTGCAGTTTTGTTACTTGGCTGGCTCTGCTATGTGATTCAACTATTTTGTAACAGGAGTTAAAGTAAGACAAATACCATTGAGACAAGGGGAGCTAGTTCACACACAGATCAGATTATCGCCTTCCATTCAGGATGCTATAGTTAAGGTTGTGTCAGGGTTTCCATTATAAACTTATCTTGGCTCTTCTGTGGGATTTTAGGGGGGCTGAGGGTGGGTGTCTGTGTTTTTTGTGGCTGCTGTAACAAAGGCAGTGCTCTGGCCAGCTGCTCCTATGAAGAAACCCCCAGGGTGGGAAGGAAAGCTGAGTCTAAATAGGCTGATTGCCTCCTCTTCTCTCTTAGCAGCCATCATCTAACAAGGGATGGGAGGACTGTGAGGATGTCCAAAGACACACAGAGGCTTTGAGCCAAGTGTGTATTTTCATTCAGACAAGATCTTCCCATGTGGATTCAAGAAAATTGGAGCTGAGTACTTCATGAATTGTGTTGCCCTCAGTTTCCCCCACATCTGCCTCCCCCTAGCAGCAGCAATGCTGGGAAGCAGCTTGGTCTTTGCATGGTGTGGGTGTTTTCTTCCAGCCTGTGCTTCTACCTCATCGTATTTTTGAGTATCTACAGAGTTGCCATGGTCTTGTCTCTCTGAGTTGATGCAGTGAGGGTTTTTATTCAGGTTATGTTGCTCCCTGAGCTTCAGCCTCTCCAGTCACAGGCTGAGCTGTGCTGAGGAGTGTTGGCTCCTGGGTTTTCCCATGCTCTCTCCGGTTCTGTTTACCAGTGAGGGGAAGAAAATGCAGTCCTTGGGTCTGACCCAGAACTGAAGGTGCTATTTTCTCCATGACAACAGTAAACCGTCACTAATCTTCAATGTGCTTATTTGCATATCTAATTGTTACTGCAAATGCTGCTTGCACTCAGTACAGCTTTAGAGCAGAGCTGTCTCCATCTTTCCCTGTACCAGGCTGGTCCTATCACAGTGGCCAAGTTTGCATGGATATGTGATCATCTTCTAGCCTGAGGGCAGGTGGAAAAACTTCAAATTCCATGTGGGTGAGATCTTAGCAGCCAGTGTTGCATACTTGCTGTCCAGCTAAGGACTTGTATGGACTGATGGGGTTGGGATGTGCTGGGTACCAGTTGTCTGTGTGAGTTGAGGAAGTTTCTGCCTTGATTCCCTGTCTTTAGCTGAGAACAGTAATATTATCTGAGGTAGGGATACCATAAGGACTGACTATTGACTAGCATGTCAAGAAGTGTTACTCATGACAGGAGTGTTATTGCATGAGCTTCCTCTTATGTCACCTGTTCCTGAATATTGACAAGGTGTTTGATTGCTGCAGAATTTGTCCTTCCACTCTCCGCTGGTATAATATCTCTCTCTTCCTCTCCTTTTGTCTGTTATTCTCCTTAGTCCCCTCCTGCTCCAGGCTGAAGATTCCTAACCATCAGCCTTCTCAGCAAGGTCTTTCCTCCAGGGCTTCCCATTCCGGGGCACTGTATTCCAGGTCTGTCTCAGACATGGTTTTACAAGCCTTTGGTTTTCATCCTTCTGGGAAGGGCACACGTATGATCACATTGGTTGCTCTGTATAGGCAAACTCCAATATCTGGGAACTTTGATCAGGAATCTGATGTTCCTGGTTTGGGATTGTCTGTCCCTTGATAAGATCCCTTAAGATGCTGTAGCTTGATCAGCTACCCACATCTGCAAACCCAGCTAGATACTGTGTGGTGCCTTTGCTGTGTTTGCAGTGTTCATTACCAGTGATTTGGGCAGCGAGTTTCATACTGGAAGCATTTATTTTCAAACTCTACAGCAGTGTTGTCCAAGTGAGGGGGATTGCTTCCTGTGTTCTCCAGCTCCGTGTTTTATTTGCTGTGTTGTTAAGTTTGTCAGTGTCTCCAGACTTAACTGTTGCAAATATAAAAGCCCTGATACTAATGGCTTTGTGGCTGACAGGTGCTCATTTCCCCTATTATTTGAGATTATTCCTTCTGAATCTCACTGTTATCTCTATTATTGACACACACTATAATTTTCAAAATTGTCCACTATTAGGTCTCTGACTCTGTTTTTTTCCCTTCTTGTCTGTGAACAGCAGTCTTCTTATGTTCAGTTAAATTTTGGTTTAACCCATTCAACAATTACAAAGGGTTTGTTTCAAGCAGTAGCAAGAGAATATTAGTAAAATAAAATGCTCTTTTTCTTTTTGAATATGTGATTTAACTTGGACTAAGTATTGCAAAGCCAATGATGTTTTAATATATACCCCTTTAATGTAGAAAACCACCTGAAAATATATTTTAAAATATTAAAGCAATTTTTAAGGTCTACTGCTTGAAAATATTTTGCTCCAGAAACTCCACTGGTTCTGCTAAGGAGCTGTTTGATTTGGTACCAAAAATTAGCTGTAATATTTAAATGACTCCTCGTCTGGCTTTGATTTGGGTTTTTTTTATTTGAAAAGATTACAGTGACATTTATATAAGGGACTTCATTTGTTGTAAAAGATTAAAGTTAATTTATACTTATTATCTGTCATTAATCCTCACACTGAAAAATTTTATCTAATGGGTATGTGTTTCAGTTTATCTCTGCTCAGGATGAGTCATAGCTTGCGTTTAAACAAGAAACCAGTGTTCTTCTCATCTGCTGCAATACATAACTAAAATTATACTTTCTGGTCCTTTAACACACCTACCAAAAAACCTGATGTGTAAGCAACACTTCACCATTTTCTGAAAGAAAACAGGATAAAGTGTGTGACTGAAAGATGAACTTTGCAAGTGTAATATTTTCTCAGAAAGGACAACAAATTAAATTCAGGCTAAAGGTAAATATTGTATGTTGTACAGATAGTGATGTTAGCTGTTGTCTGTGAACATTTTAGACACATGCCAGTGTTAGGAGGATGTGGTCAGTGTGGTATTAAGGGCAGACACACAGCTCTGAGGTGACTTCCTGCTGCTCTGTGAAGTGGCAGTTCTGGTAGACCACCACGGTGGTCTGTCAGAAAAGTTATGTTTCCTGACAGAGCAAAAAAGAGTTTTGTAATGCTATTGATCAGATTTAAAAAATAAAAAATAAAAAACAAAGAAAACCACCAGCATTTTTCTGTATATCATACATTGTTCTATTAGGTTTTGATGGTGATTGCTTTGTAATACAGCAGAAGGAAGGAAAACAAAGCTGAGTAATTGGGTGAAGAATGAGTTATGAGAGCATATTTTTCTTATGGTAACAATAATTCAATTCAAACAAAAGATGGATTCAAGGAGGTAAAGAGACCTCAGGATCACTTAAAATAGAATTTTCTGAAGATCTTGCAGAATTCGTAGCTCTGCAAAAATACATCATTTAGAAAGAAAAAGGAAAAAGTCTAAAGAAGACAGACTTCTAAACCAAGTTGCTAAAAGTTTGTTTCGTGTAAAAGCACAGAGTGAAGTGGTGTAACATCCTTTCTCTCTGATATCTTTTGAGATGATCGGAAGCAAAGAAGACAAACACATAGCAAGGACCAAGTACTGTGGTTTTTAGCTTGACTCTTACCAGAATCCCCCATCTTCACCCACTCTTTCTTTGACGTGAGAGACTGTTTATTGCAGAGTGGTTCTCCAAGGCGGTTTCTCACCCAGAGCTGACTGTTGTGCTCGGGTGCCTATCTGAGGTAGTGGATAAGATAAAGAAAACACCCTACTGAATGTTGAGGAGAGAACCATGACCTAGGTCAGCTTGCACTGAAACACAGGGGCCTTCTGAGGCTCTGCAGCATTTGCACCGTTTGGTTCTGGTTCATTAGAACAAGGGCTTTGAGTGTTAGGAAAAGCATTTAATGCAGGGCTTTGAAACAGTGCAGGCAATCTGTCTAGGCTGGGAAAGATAGGGGGAAGGGAAATCAAAGTATGGTGAATCCTTGCTACTCTGAATAGACAAGGATGATTGTGCTTTTGTAGTGCTATATATACTTGCCAAGGCAATCTGATCAGTGTTTGTCTTGAACCAACTAATCAATGTGGTGTTGAGTTCAGTGCTATTTATCAGGAGAGCTGGAACAAGAAACTAATCCAGTAAATTTCATTTGTTCTCTGGAGTGGGCTTTGTTTTCATGCTAACTTCATGTAGCAAACGTTGACAGTACATATTGTTTTCCTCATTAATAAAACTTGGAACCTGTGGTGTTCCTTGCAGCAGTCAGACCGTGTCCAACACAGCTGAGCATGCATCTTTCTTTGACACATCCAAAGGTCAGAGCATGCACTGCTCCTTGTGGGAACTGTAGCTGAACTCTCCTGTCTCCAAGGCCAGTGTGGAACAAGAGCTGGAGGTAGTTAGCTGTCTTCAACTCTGTTGTTTGGATGACAGATGCCTCTGTTTTCAGCTGGGACTAACAATTTTCTACAGAGCTGCAGCATGTTTCTCTGTTTTAGGAGATCTGGATAACTTA